AACAAATTTAGAATATAAAGTAATAAATATACAATATCAATAAGAAAACAAGAAAAGGCCAGGGATTATCAAGATAAGTTAAGCACAAACTGAATCCGAGGATTGATAATGAATTTTTAAGGGAAATTTTATAACAGAAACAAAAAGATATAAATAGTATTTTTCTTGAACATCTGAAACTTGAGAAGAAGCAAGAAAAAAAAAAGGGACAAAAAAGAGACACCTATTTCAAAAAAATCAGATACATTAAATACATAAAAGTAATATATATATGCCAATAACAGACTACTTGATTTCCGTTGCATTTATTTCAATAAAAAGATATTTGGAAGAAATTCAGAAATTTAAACTTTGGGAAGACGGAATAGTAAAATTGATCAATTACATACGTCATGAAGCATTTCTTTGACATCCATTATAGGATTCATTCAAATGATTGCGTGGAGTAAGATTATAATTTTCGCGTTCCGCTCCTACCAACTCAACCGTAAATATACAAATGAGCAACCAAATGAGTTTCGATTGTCAATCCTCAGAAGCAAATTTTTTGGGTATTCAGATGAGGACGAATAATTTCATGCAGCGATTCACATATTGTCTGCTAAAATAACCTTTATGCTAATCCTTAAATTGATGATTTTTTGCAAGTTAGGAACTTAAAAGATCGGTGGACGTGGCGCAAATAGATATAAACTTTTTTTTATTGTAAGAGATTAGCCACTAATCCACGTGAAAATCCGAATAACATATGATATTTCGCGTGTTAATTTAATTCTGCCATAAATGTATTACAATAGACGGATGAATGAAAATTAGAAGCGTTTAATTATATAAATATTATATATATTATAATATATATTATTATATTATTATATTATTATATTTATTATATATTATACATATACCTTTCACGATACCGATACTAATAAAGTTTTCACAACTATAAAATAAATCTTAGATCCAAAGGTTCGGAGATGGTTGTCCTCGTCGTACCTACCTACCTACCTACGTACTGTACCTACTTATAGCAATATAAAAAAAAGGTGAAAATCTGGTGTGGCTTTGCGAAATAATGAAAGAAAGTGACCTTTAAATTCGGGTAAAAAAAAATTGGTTGTACAGAGTTTTGACTTGTTGACCTGCTGACTTCACATGCCGAAAATATTCTAAAGTCAGCCCATATTACCACATGTAAAAACAAAATTTATACTTACTATTTGAAAAATATCTATTGTTGTTTTTAAAAAAAAAATTGATAGTCAAGTATAACTCATATGAATATCGTGCACTCATTGCATAATGCAACCAAAACAATTACGCCGCCTCCCTTTCTAAACATTTCTCTTCTCATCCCTCGTTTATCTCTTTTTTTTTTTTTTTTAAAGTTGAATTATTTCATCGCCTAAAAAAAGACATTCTCGAGAAAAAATACAAGTTATTCGAGTTCCACCTTTTTCATAAAATAATTTTTTTTTTTTTTGTACTTTACAATTTCCTCGTTGTCACTTTACCAACTTTCAAAAGAATAAATAAACTGTAGTATTTGTTGATATTTTCTTACATCACTTTTTATATACTTTATTATTTCTTCCTTCCATTTTACAAACGTGTGTACAATATATAAAATGTATCATAATCAACCCCCAGTCTTACCTCCGTTAAGTACTACTGTTGAATATAAACCTGTGAACGGTGATTCACAGAATATAAAACAAGAACAGCACGATGGTTCTTTTGATTCCAATGTTCCCCTAACTCCTTCTCCTTCTTTGTCTCCAACTCCTACTCGAACGGACCTTCCAAATAATCACTCTAGAATGTCTATAAATCAATTATGTAACGATACTGACGATGAGGTAAAAGAAGCCGCGGCTGTTCTAGAAAATATGAAACAAGGTCTTCCATCAATCGGTACTTTATCTTTTCCTTTAATTTATATATAATACGTATATTAATTTTATTCTTTCTTATATTCATTGATATTCATCTATATTCGTCTATATTCGTCTATATATTCATTTATATACTTTCATTGTAGAAATACCACCTCATTCTACACAAATAGAACACGATGGTTCAGGGCAGATGCCAACCTCACCTTCTGGTGAAACGGACAATACTTTAATGTCACGAATAGGAGGCGGTATAGGCTTTTTGCGAAAAGGCATGAATTTCTATGAACAGGGTAACTACCCGTACATGAAAATGGTCGGGTCACAAGTTTCTAAAATAGCAAAACCTGTTATCGAAAAACTTGAAGAAATGATGGATAATAATAGTAATAACAATAATAATAACAATTCCGCTGTTGTTTATACTGCTACTCCAAATGGTGATTTATCGTACGATTCTTCTAAAGAAGATGTAATAATCGGGGGTGAGAAGGATGATGCTTCTGCTCAAAATCGAAAAAGGGGTGTTCATGGTGAATTAAGAAGTTCATCTCCTTCATACAGATCCCCCTCTCGATCTCATCGTTCTTCTCAATCAAATGGTTCTCAAAATAGTTCTTCTCTTTACTCTTATCCTAATAACAACAACAACAATTACACAGCTTCAAATCCTACTACTACCGTACTACGCAATAGATTGCAGCAAGTGCTTGTTGGTGCTGGCACCGCTGCTGGCGCCGCCGGTGCTGCCGTCAGTGAAGAATCTATGAAAAGTCTTAAATATTGTCTTCAATGGTTAACTGTATGTATTTTTATCATTTAATTATTATTATTTCTCTTTATTATTATTATTATTATTATTATTTCTCTTTATTATTATTATCATTTCTCACTATTATTTTCTTATTTTTTAATCTATTTAATTAGTATGCTACTCAGCATATAGGCAACCAAATTGCTGCCTTAAAAAGTATTATTGACAGTTTTACCTCCCCTGCTTCAAGTGGTGCTCTTATATCTCAATCATCTTCGAAGCTTGCTGCAATTAAAAAGGAAGTTGTTGATACCCTTCGCAAAGTCATCGAAGTTGTTTCTAAATATGCCAGCATTTGTCTCCCTGAACATGCTAAACATAACGTTAGAAGTTTTATATTAAGCCTACCCTCAAGATGGGCTTCTATCAATCATTCTGATCACTCTTCTTCGGCTTCTCCTGCTTCTTCTCCTCGTTTACCTCCTTCAAATGCTCATATTAATCAAACCACTGATTACGCTCGCCGTTTGTTAAGTTTAGCAAACGAATCTCTTGATATGCTCCGTGGTGTTGCTGGTATATTTAGTGAAACTGTCGGTCGTGCTGAAGCTTGGGTTGAACGTTTAAGTTCTTTTGGTGTAACTGGTGGTGGTGCTAATGCTATGGGTCATATCCATTTTGATAGTATCCCTCAGCCAAATGGTAACGGTTATACTTATAGTCAAGCTACTAGTAGTCCACCATCTCATTCTCCTGTAACTCCTCGGTCACGTAGAACTTCTACTAATTCGGCCCGTATGAATAGGAGATTTCGTACTACTCACCCCCTTATAGATGATGAAGATGATGATTTTTCGGATTCTTCTTCTGAATCTGATGCTGAGAGTATGCGCATGGAAATGGATGGTCGTCGTGTAAAGACTACTTCTCATTCAAATGGTTCATTAAATGGTGCCAAGAAAAGAAAAAAAGCTGGAAAAAAATCTGAAAATGATAGAATGGATCTTTCTTAGTTATTATTATTTTTTTTTTCACTGTTGTATATCACAAAATGCTCACTTTTGCATTAGTTTTTTCTTTTCCTTTTTATATATGTTTATCTTTGCTATGTTAACATTTTTAATGTTAAAAATTATAAAACCATGATACTATATAATTATCGTTTTATGATCAGAGCTAATTACGTACGTACGTATGGCACTCACGTACGTAGGGTACGTACGTACGTATTTTTGTTACTGTCAAAAATTAGCTGTAATAAGGTATGTATTAAAGTAGTAGCAGTACCGTAGTACGGTAGTACAGATTTGGACAGACGTACGGACATCTTAATAAATTTTGATAGTACATACGTTTGTAAAAACTTAATCTTTCTTTATTCTAGTATGTACGAATATTAAACAACTTTCTTTACCGGATTATCTAATATTTTTTTTTTTCTTGCAAATAATTTTTAAAACAAATATTAAATTATTTAGCGTTAGCTTTTTTTTTTTTTTTATAAACCAAAATCTTAATAGATTCGGTTTTTATAAATTTAAGCCATTTAGTTTTTAAGACAAAAAATATAAATTTTTACAAAATAAATTCGATCATTTAAATTTATTATACCGATACGTATTTTTTAATATATACGTAGATATCATTACTGTTTTAAACTTATTTTTATGACGATAATAAATCTTAATTATAACCAATTTTATACTAGATACGTAATTGGTTTTAAATTTCCTTTTTGAAAAATTTTATACAGTAATTTATTCAATAATATTTAGAATAAAAATCATAATAATTTCAATATTATAATTACCAGGTTGGTAATTAGAATTTAGTATAATTAAAAATATCAAGATTAATTTTTAAAATAAAAATTGATTATTATATTGTTATAGATTTATAACCTTTTTTAATATATAGTTTATATATTTTAAACTACCGTAAAACGCAGTGCAAGGTACCCCCCTTGATTTAGACCCCCCTTGATTTGTACCGGGTATATTACAAGGGCAT